TTTTAAAAAAAAAAAAAAAAAAAAAAAAAAGACATCATGGATAATAACTTTTAATTCTTTTTCTTAAAAAAAAAAAAAAAATGCGTAAAAAAAGCAATTGAGGAGTAAGGAAGAATGAGTTGTAAACGCGGAAAGACGCGCACGGTTCGCATGTAAGATATGAAGGTGTCGCTACGGTTCAAAACAGAGCAAAGACGCAGCGTCAAACGAATTAAACCAAACGGGCAGCACAAGGGCTCGCCATTCTTCCTTTGTGCAGATGGCGTTTTGGCGCTGGTTATTTAAAAGAAGTGGTGGTGTCAGGGAACAAACGCAAAAAAAATGGTGAACGTTGAGATTGAAGCTGGAGTTGAACAAGTAGAGGGATAGGACTTGGCTAACACGAACACGAACAGGAACACTAACCACACTACGACGATGACAGACGCGCTCCTCGACAGATGCGCTTCTGCTCCGCGCCTACTGCAAAATATCCTCACAGAACAACTTGTAATCGATTGGGTCCTCCGAAGAAAACGCGTTGAGCGCATCGTTGGCCTCCTGCTCGGTCAAGGCATCACCCCAAGTTGTTAAAATATTCCTCATTTGGTGCTTGGTCAAGAATCCAGAGGCGTTATTGTCAAAGTGTGAAAACATCTTAATGAGCTCTTCCATGTTGTCTCTATCATGCACACACATGGTTAGATATTCTAAATACTGCTCGTAGGTTAAACTGTCTCCATACAAATCTCTAACTTTCTTCTCGTCCAAGCTTGATGGAGCTAGACCCAATTTCCTTGCATTGTTTGAGGCATCTTCTATGGTTACTTTTCCATTGCTACTCTTATCGTTGAACATAGTTTTGGCTTCATTTCGATCTACCTTCTCATCTAACTCTTCTAACCCTGCAACTGATTCTTCAGATTGTTCAGACTCTTCATAATTTTCCTCCTCCACTAATATATTTTTAACCTCTGGTTCTGGTTGCCATTCGAAACCTGGTCCCCACATGAAATAATTCAGTTCGGTGTCGTACGGGGCGATGGCTGATTCTGGGTCCGGCAAGTTGTAGTAGCACACGGGGCATTGCTTTTCCATTTTGGCGACAATTGGGGGTGGAGGATGTGGCGACGGGGTAAAAAGCGGTAACGCGGTATCGCTGTGACAAGGTAGCACGGCTAATGGATCACGCGCTGAACAAATAAACAAAGCAAACACGGGAAAGCGACTTTCCTCTTAAAAATGGGCTAAAAGGGGGCGAAAAAAAAAACAACAGTTGCAACGATGCGCTGCCTTCCTGATGTGTAAGATGGCAAGGGTGAATCTTCTCACTTGCAACAAAAAGTACCTTGAACACACACGTGGCTTTTCGGGGAAAAGGTACAGATGTACGCGCGTGTGTGTTAAAAATGCCACAAGTTTTTTAAAGACTGCTCCAATTGAAAAAAAAAAAAAAAAAAGGAGTGCAGCAACGCAAAAAAATGAAAAGCGAAAAACGAAAAAGCGCAGAAACGCGAAAAAGCAAAACGCAAAAAACGAATAAACGAAGAAACTTAATTTTATCAAATAAATCAATTCACAAAAGGAGAAGTGTTGAAGATGTGTGCCACTTTCTTAATTGTGATGAAAATTTAATTTTACCTTTTACAACTGCAGTTTAAACGGGAGACTTTTCAAATGTAACACCATATCGTTACAACATCAAAAAAAAAAAAAAAAAAAAAAAAAACAAGAAAAAAAAATATATATATATAAAGTGGAATGCACAAAATGGGATGCATAAAGTAGAATAATAAAGTACCAAATGGATGGATAGAAAATTTTTTTTTTTTTTTTTATGAACACGTGCAGGTATATTTTATATCTTTACATATTTACGTGCAAAAGTGTTGCCTTTTCGCCTGCGCAGAAAAATGTGTACACATAAGAGTACATGTGTATATTCGCTTATGTTACACGTGCGCATAGATGGGAAAATGGTTTTTTGTTTTTTTCCTTTTATTTGCTTCTTTTTTGTTTTCTTTCCATTTGTTCGTACTGCATCATTTGTACTAGTTTTACACCCGAAGCCAACACCTGACAGTTATGTGTGCAAAATGAGCCTTACTGTTTTTTTGTCAAAATTGCCTTTGCTTAAAGCTAGGCAGAAAAAAAAAAAAAAATGCAATTAAAGCTATTTATAAGCTAACAATGTGTACAGCTTTTTTTTTTTTTTTTTTTTTTCCAGAACGTTAAGGTGTGCTGTACATATATTTACACATGTTAGCATTTTTTTTTTTTTTTGTAATCCATTCCTTAGACTGCTCATCATGTGAAAGAGCGAAGATTAGGGCTACTGAGGCCAAGTATGGTTTTATACATTTATCCCTAATGTAGAATCGTGTATTGTAGCAATTTCTTAGCCTTGGTGGGGAAATTTTCCCATTTTGTGTGGTTGCACACCATTGTGGAAGCTGTTTTCTTGTAGACCCAAAATTATGACGCTGTACGGGCAGTAACAGCCAAAAAAAAAAAAAAAAAAAAAAAAAAAAAAAAAAAGAAATATATGAACGGTTCAGGTAAATATGATGTCACTTTTGTGCAACGTTATCCAATATTGTTATAAGGACTATTCATATCTATTCGGATGTGTCAACTTCCCCTTCCCAGGACCATTCCCCGAAGTAGCAATTTTTTGCATCTTGACAAAAATGTTCACTTGCAAGAATGCGCAGTTCTAAAAAGGTTACACCCAAATTATGGCTAAACGGAACGCGCAAATGGGCATTTTCGCTCACACGCGTGTACATTTTTGTGCACACCGTTGCATGGGGAATACGCATGTTTGTGATGCTCACGGTGGTGAAAGCACCTTCGAATTGGCAAATCGACCCTCATAAAAATGGAATGTCCATAAAAGCAGCGGTTGGTTACTGCCAAGTGCGGAGGAATATATGTATATCCCTATTCCCCATTTGGACTCGTTCCATGAGGGGAACTTCCAAATGACGACCATTCCTTTGGTAGGTAAATAAACAATGCTCTTTTTCCGTCCGCGCAAGTGGTACGTTGTTTATTGTAATTTGTGCGATTGTGTGGTAAGTAAAAAGGAGAGAAACAAAAAAAGAAAGAAAAAAAAAAAATTGTGTACCTACTGTTACATATTTACAAAAAAATAAACTTTAAAAAAAAAGAATTATTATCCTTAAAATACACACACACACAAAAAAAAAAAAGAGAGAAAAAAGCGACGTCTCATTTCGTGTGCTTTTAATTCAAAGACTAGCAGACAGTGACCATAAATCAGTGGATATAAGAGGCTAAGTTACGGCAGGGAATATACAGAAATTATGGACTCACCATCCCGCCGTGACTACACCTGGTCGTGCTTCTTAAGAATGAGTATGATTAAAAAAAGGATGGCCGATGATAGGGTCGGGTTAGTCGACTTACATATGATCTTCAGTTTGTTCTTCAACACCTCAATTCCCACGAGGACGAAATAATTATCCAATGCGCTTGCATTGTCCGCATAGCACCCGCTCAAATAAATTGTATCTTCTATGTAGCACACACTTAGTGCATTTCCCTACACAGGGGGGTGGTGTACACAAATGCACATGAACACGAGCGCTTAAACAATCGCACACAAGGTGAGGTTGATAACTTTGGGGGCTAAATAACAAGCCCTCCATGTATATTTCACAGAATAAACGCAAAATGATGTTCTGTGTATGCGGGTGGGCCTTACCAAACAGGACATGGCGACGATCTGCTCTGTGTCCACAGAGTCCACCTTGTAAATCACTTTCTCCTTTTTATATATATTAAAATTTTCGTTGTTCCAGAATTTCACAAAAACGTCCTTGGTGATTTTAATGTTCTTCATAAATTTATTGATTGGGATGGGCAGCCTCAACTCGATGCTTTTTCTGAACATGTCTTGCATGCTACAAGCGGGGAGGAAACAGAAATGCGCATTTACAGACCGCCATCTCTCTGGAAGAACAACACAGGTGTGTTACACACACACGTGGGTGCAACAGACATCAACGATAGAGCGCTCTTTTCCTCATAGTATAAAATGGGGTGAAAGTCCCGCTTGACTCTTATCCCTCCTCTTACCGGTAGGAAATCTTAATTAAGGGAAAGCCCTTATACATGTGCATGCACTTCACGGCCATTTCCTGCAGGGGAGGAGGAAGCAGACAATTATTCCTTTTCAATTGTACCACTGCGGCGACATTTCATGCAAAATGTATGCACATTTTTGATGCATAATTTTTGCCCAATTCGAGCTTCCACGACGCAGCAGTCACTCACATAGCAGTTGGTCGCATTCGCGCAAAGCATCTTCTCATAGTTGAGAAATTTTATTTTCAAGGGGAATAAAATTTTGTTCGATATTTTAATATCCACGTCGTAATAATTCACCAGCTTTTTATTCTTCACGTAAATTTTTATCAACCCGTTGTTGCCGTAGTAGTGCTGACTCAGGGATATCTGCGGAGGGGGAGGGGGGAGGAAAAAAAAAAAGGAGCAATCAGTGGATGTGTCCCTTATACCAACGTGTGCATTTACTACATGTACGATATGACACTAAGAGGAAAACTCTCTGTTTCATTATGAACAGAAACACTACGCTTATTTATGCACATGCTAACCTCGAGGTTGTCGTCCCTTAACAACAGAGACCCATTTTTCAATACTGCATCTTGTACGTAAGATATATTGTCATTCTTCGTGAAATATTTATTGCAGGAGGAGATGGGTGTTGGGTCATTCATTTGTGATGAAACGATGGAGTTCCTCTTATCACTCTGCTTTTGAGCAATTCCTAAAGGAGTTTCAATGGGGGTGGTAGTAAACGGCATTCCTCCGCTTTGTTCTTGTGATGGAACTTTCTTCTGCTCATTTTTGAAGTGTCTAGTTGGAGATAAGTTGTCTGTGAACTTGTTGATGATACAGTTTAGCTCATCGGGATTCATTTTTCTGTGTTTACTTTTATTTCTACTTTTATTTTTTTTCTTCTTCAAGTCAATGTATTTGTTCATGCCAAGGAGATCGCCCAGAGTTTCCTCCTTGGTGTCTTTTTCCTTTGCCTTCAAAAATTTATTATAATTTAAAAAGTCTTCCTTAATGGAGTAAAAGTTGCTCTTCTTTATCAGGCTATCCCAAAGAGCATTATTTCCATCATGTACATAATTATTAAATTCTTTACATTCCTTTTGGTAAGCACTTTGTTGCTGCGTCATATGACCCATTCCTTCATTTAGGTATGCGTTGAACTCATTTATTATTTGGATCTCCTTTTCGTTAAAGTGGTCATCCCGCGCTGCGACTTGGTGCTTTCCTGCATACTTGGCGTCTGCGCGTGGAGAGGGGGAAAGGTTCAGAATTGTTGCGGCAAGGGACGGATGGGGGGAGAACAAACAGGCCACTCATTATGTACACTACTCATTTGTGTACGTGGGCTAAAAATGTGCATGCGCGCCCACACACATGCCCGCTTATCCCCATCAGCTACGTTCCCTCAGCTATCACCTCCTTGTAGTGGCCGCAGAGGAAACGTACCTTGGGAGGCCTTCTCGGTGCCCACAAGGTCAAACGCGACCGTCTTGCTCAAGGAGGCCTTGTTCTTCGTGTCCACCTGTGCGTCCCCTGGCCACGTCCTTTCATCGGGGAATACAGGGGGCTCCTTACACTGCTCATCATTTTGCTCTTTTTTTTTTTTCTTACTTGTGGTTATTTTTTTCTTTTTCCCATTTTCCTTCTCGTCATCCTTGTCCATCGAAGCACCCGTCTGCGTCTTGCCGAGCCCTTTTCCACTGTGATTCTCCAAGGACTTGCTGGTCGGCGCAAAGGCGACTGATTTACCTCCCGTCCCTGCCTCTTTATTGCCATCATCAAAAGGAGGTTTCTTCTGGTTCATCTTGTCCCCCTCTGGAAACATCACTCCCTCGTCATTCACATTTCCCTCGAGTCCTCCACTGACTGCTACCCCTGAGGGAGCATTCTTCACAAGGGACGAAGCAAATTTTGTTACACTACTTGTAATATTCTTAGACAATGATTTAGATTCACCTTTCTCATGAGTTTTTTTTTTATTATTTGATCCTACTGCGGAGGTAACACTTTTTTCCTTGTTAACCTCTGAATGAGTGTCCACCCCCCTGTTCATGCTGCTTGTCCTTTTATTTACCTCCTCATAACCCACTTGATTGTTTAATAATGTACCACTCGATTTTGTTTTTATTTGTTCCTTTTGCGATGGGCTGGTCCCTCTGTGGGAATCCTTATGATCCTTCTCCTTGAAGAACTCTGGGCGGCTCAGCAGGTAGGATTCATAGCGCACGTTTATTTCGTCTTCCTCTTGCATTTCCTGCGGGTGGACAGGCGGCGATACGAGTTTGAAGCGGGTGCACAGCGACATGTACAGTGACATGCACTGCGACATGGGTAGCGACGTGGGAAGACACATGCAGAGGCACACTCGCCCTCCATTCCTTACATCAAAAAATTTGCAGTAGGGTTCATATTCTCCATTTTCCAAAAACTCGATGGTCTTCTCCTTCACCTCATTAAGGCATCTGCAGGGGGGGCATAACATATATGTCGCAATAATTGGCGCGCAGGTCATGGTATGGGTTTACATATCTCAGCGCGTGGTGCTTGTGTCGGATTGACGTGTGTGTGTGCGCGGGGGACAGCCTCACCTGATGTAGTTAGAGTAGACTTGGTCAACCTTGCCATGGCTTACAAACTCCGTTTCGAGCAGCTCGAGCAGTTCCCTCTTCGCATTCGTGAAGTCTGAGCAGGGTGAGCGCGGGGTAAAGTGATGACGCGATGAAGCAGTAAAGCGGAGGAAGAAGCGCACTCTAAAACGGCATCTTCTACAAAAAGCGCATAAAGAAGAGCCACCTCTCTGCGTCGCCCTGCCAAATGCATTACCACTAAGCAAAGGGGTATAGGAAAAGGACCATCCCGGCTCAATAAAAATTTTTTTCTTCTGTATCTTTCTAAATATGTTGTTAATAAATTTATTATCCTTGAATAGTTTCTTAGCTTTAATCGTTTCGGTGATTTTGAAAAAATGTATTGACTCACTAACGAGGCTGTCTTTTTCTTTGTTTGTGCTATGACCAAAGTAGGTGATGTATTTTCTATTAGTCCCTTCCTTATTTCGCTTGAGCAGTTTGTATGCGTATGTGATGATGTCTTTGCTCACTGGTAGGTCCGCAGACTTGGGATTCAGCGTGAAGGCTATGCCGATGACCTGCAGTAGGACAAACGTGGAATGGGCAAAAAAAAAAAAAAAAAAAAAAAAAAAAAAAAAATCCATAATTCTTCCGTCGTCGAATTGTTCAAGTGCACCTTTTCGATACTTTGCTGTCCGCATGGCACTCAATCGTGCATTACGGTACATATACTGTGCACGTGCGTACCTTCAAGGCCGTGGTCCGCGAGATGGCGGGGTTCTTTATATTTTTCAGTGTGACATAGCAAAAGTTAAATAGCTCCTCATACTTTCTGTGCGTGATCAGGTGTTCCTTCAACTCCCTGAAATATAAATGAAGATATTCAGTGGACTCTGTGCACGTCTTGAACAGCAGCTTGTCATCCTCCGTCCCGGTGTTTTTGTACTTGCTCTTACATATGGTCATTGTGTCGTTCGCTTGGCGTTTCCTTCGTGCATATTATCGCGTTGGGGAGGGCTCGTTTTTAAAAATAATGTGGGAAATTTATTTTCCTGGTTTCCCCTTAAATTGTTCGAGCGCGGCGGAGGCTGCACGATCGACCCTCCCCGCAACCACTTCAAGGCTTCACTTCTTCACTGCTTAACGGCTTCCCTGCTTCACTTCTTCACTACTTCACTTCTGCACTGCGTCACTATGTTCCCTCCTCTGAGACCAAGCGCAGAATCAGAGCGAGTACATTATCCGTGCCGTTTGCGTGTCGTCAGTCACTCTCCCTCGTGAATATAAACT